CTTGGCCTGATGTGAAGACACAAATCTCGTTCTTAATTGGAAAAAATGCTACTTCATGGTTGAAGAGGGCATAGTGTTGGGCCACAAAATTTCTAAGCATGGGATTGAAGTAGACAAAGCCAAGATTGAGGTGATTTCAAGGCTCCCTCCCCCCACTTCTGTCAAGGGGGTGAGGAGTTTTTTTGGGCATGCAGGGTTCTACCAGTGATTTATCAAGGATTTTTCGAAGGTAGTGAATCCTCTTTGCAAGTTGGTAGAGAAAGATGCTAAGTTTGTGTTTGATGAGAAATGCATGGAGGCCTTTGAACTCCTTAAGCATAAGTTGACCACCACCCCGATCATTACCGCACCCAATTGGAGCTTGCCTTTCGAGCTCATGTGCGACGCGAGTGATGTTGCGGTTGGGGCAGTTTTGGGTCAAGAGTGAACAAAATGTTTCATCCCGTGTACTATGCAAGCAAGACTATGAATGAAGCTCAAAGGAACTACACGGTGACGGAGAAGGAATTGTTGGATATTGTGTTCGCCATGGAAAAATTTCGGCCATATCTTATGGGAGCCAAAGTCATAGTGCACACCGATCATGCTGCCCTTAGGTATTTGATGACAAAGAAAGACTCCAAGGCAAGGTTGATGCGATGGGTGTTACTTATTCAAGAGTTTGATTTGGAGATAGTGGACTGGAAAGGTAGTGAAAACCAAGTGGCGGTCATTTGTCCTGCTTGGAGGAGGAAGGTAGGCCGTGTGATGGCCTAGAGATCAATGATACATTACCCATGAGCAACTACTTTCTGTGTCGATGTGTGATATGCCATGGTTTGCGGACATTGCTAATTTCCTTGTGACTGGCATCATCCCGTGTGAGCTCTCTTCTAACCAAAGGAAGAATCTCAAATGAGATAGTTTGGACTTCTATTGGGACGAGCCATACTTGTTCAAGATTTGCACCGACGGAGTCATCCGGAGGTGTGTACCTGAGGAGGAGCAATTTAGCATTCTAGAAGCTTGTCATTCCTCCCCCTATGGTGGCCATCATGGAGGGGCGAGGACGGCTTCGAAAGTTCTGAGTTGTGGTTTTTATTGGCCAACCTTGTTCAAAGATGCAAGTGATATAGTAAAAAGATGTGATCAATGTCAACGAGCGGGCGGGATTTCCAAGAAAGATGAGATGCCTCTAAACACCATTCTTGAAGTTGATATCTTTGATGTATGGGGTATCGATTTTATGGGCCCTTTTGTAAGCTCATATGGAAACACCTACATTCTTGTGGCGGTTGATTATGTCTCAAAATGGGTCGAGGCCGTGGCCTTGCCCAACAATGAGGCTAGGAGTGTGGTGGCATTTCTGAAGAAAAGTATTTTCACAAGGTTTGGTACACCTCGGGCAATTATTAGTGATGGAGGATCGCATTTTTGTAATAGAGCTTTTGATACCTTGCTTTCCAAGTATGGTGTCAATCACAAAGTGTCTACGCCTTATCATCCTCAAGCAGGTGGCCAGGTTGAAGTGTCTAACAGGGAGATTAAGAGCATCTTGTCCAAAACCGTCAATGCCAATAGGACCGATTGGTCTAAAAAGTTAGATGATGCTCTATGGGCTTACCGGACCGCTTACAAGACCCCAATTGGTATGTTGCCATACCGGTTGGTGTTTGGGAAACCATGTCATCTACCAGTGGAGTTGGAACATAAGGCCATGTGGGCCTTGAGGAAGCTTAATCTTGAGTGGGATGTTGCGGCAACTCTTCGTGTTGAACAACTCAATGAACTTGATGAATTCCGGTTCCATGCATACTCTAGTTCGTCCTTGTATAAGGACAAGATGAAGCACCTTCATGACAAATATGCTCGTGGAAAGGAGTTCAAAGTTGGTGATTTGGTCCTCTTGTTCAATTCTCGTCTAAGGTTGTTTCCGGGAAAGCTGAAATCAAAGTGGAGTGGACCATTTGAAGTTGTATGTGTGACCCCGTTTGGTGCTCTAGATTTGAAGAACAAAAGTGGTGAAGTCTTTAGAGTAAATGGGCACCGTGTCAAGCATTATCTTGGGAAGTTTGATGATAGCCATGTGGTGGCTGTTGTTCATTTCAAATGATGTGATGGTAACCCGCGTCGTGCCGCGACGTTAAATCAGGCGCTTCTTGGGAGGCAACCCTTGTGTTTTTCTTTTTGTTTTCTTTGATTTTTCTTGGTAGTACAGGATTGATTTTTGGGCTAATTGATTGTGAGATGTTGCAGGGATTGAGTTGATGCAGTGCAGGACATAATGGCAAAATTTGTTTAGTCTCTGAAGTTTCCAGTGCGGCCGTACTACACTTTGTGCAGTCCGCACTGGTGTGAGCCAATGTGAGGACTCTCTGAAGTTTTCCACTGCGGCCGCATTACATTTTGTGCAGACCGCGGTGGACCTCTGCGGCCGCGGTCTATTTTGTGCAGACTGCAGAGGTTGCCTTCTCAAACTTCTTCTAAACAAACCCGGCGCGGACCGCAGTCCATTTTGTGCGGCTGCGCTGGTAGGTGAGAATGGGTCCTACGGGTTTCTCTATAAATAGGTAGTACAAATAGGAATGAAGTACGCGGACTTGATCAGCTGATCCACAATCACCCAAATAGCATCGAACTTCGTCAAAGTCCGTGGGAGCCCAACTACAAAGTCCATGGTGATCCGCTCCCACTTCCACTCTGGAATATCCATCTGCTGAAGCAAGCCACCCGGTCTCTGATGCTCATACTCACCTGCTGACAATTGAGACACCGAGCTACAAATCCCACAATATCTTTCTTCATCCTCATCCACCAATAATGTTGTCTCAGATCCTGATGCATCTTCGCGGTACCGAGATGAATGGAATACCGCGAGCTATGGGCCTCCTCCAGAATCAACTCCCGAAGCCCATCCACATTGGGCACACAAATCCGGCCATGCATCCTCAACACCCCATCATCAGCAATGGTCACATCTCTGACATCGTCGTGCTGAACTCTGTCCTTAAGGACAAAAAAGTGAGGATCATCATACTGGCGCTCTCTGATGCGATCAAACAAGGAAGACTCAGAAATCACACTAGCTAAGATCCGACTGGGCTCCGAAATATCCAACCTCACCAACCGGTTGGCCAAGGCCTGAACATCAACTACGAGAGGTCTCTCCCTAACAGGAATAAATGCAAGACTCCCCATACTCACCGCCTTCCTACTCAAAGCATCAGCCACTACATTGGCCTTACCCGGATGGTACAAGATAGTAATATCATAGTCCTTTAGCAGCTCTAACCATCTCCGCTGCCTCAAATTTAGATCCTTCTGTTTGAACAAGTGCTGGAGGCTACGATGATCAGTAAACACCTCACAAGACACACCATACAAGTAATGCCTCCAAATCATCAACGTGTGAACAATGGCAGCCAACTCTAAATCATGGACATGGTAGTTCTTCTCGTGGGGTTTCAACTGACGAGAAGGATAAGCAATAACCCTACCCTCCTGCATCAACACACATCCAATACCCACTCTTGAAGCATCACAATACATTGTATATGAACCTGAAGTTGATGGGAAAACTAACACTGGAGCTATGGTCAAAGTAGTCATGAGCTTCTGAAAGCTCGCCTCACACTCATTCGACCACTGGAATGGAGCACCCTTCTAAGTCAACTTGGTCAAGGGTGATGCAATAGATGAAAATCCCTGAACGAACCGACGGTAATAACCCGCCAATCCAAGAAATTTGCAAATCTCTATGGCTGAGGACGGTCTGAGCCAACTCTGAACCGCCTCTATCTTCTTCGAATCAACCTGAATACCCTCACTGGACACCACATGCCCCAAGAAAGCCATCGACTTGAGCCAAAACTCACATTTGGAGAACTTTGCATAAAGCTTCTCTTCCCTCAACCTCTGCAACACAACTCTCAAATGCTCTGCGTGCTCCTCCTGACTACGCGAGTATACCAGAATATCGTCAATGAAAACAATAACGAACGAGTCGAGATACAGTCGGAACACGCTATTCATCAAATGCATGAACGTTGTTGGGGCATTGGTCAGCCCAAAAGACATCACAAGGAACTCATAATGACCATATCGGGTCCTGAAAGTTGTCTTAAGATTATCCGAGTCCCTGATCTTCAACTGGTGATACCCTAAACGGAGATCAATCTTGGAGAACACCCTCGCTCCCTGAAGCTGGTCGAATAAATCATCAATGCGAGGCAGGGGATACTTGTTCTTAATTGTAACCTTGTTCAACTGCCTGTAATCAATGAATCCTCATAGTGTCATCCTTATTCTTCACGAACAAAACAGGCGCACCCACGGCGAAACACTAGGCCGAATAAACCCCTTATCAAGGAGTTCCTGAAGCTGCTCCTTCAACTCCTTCAACTCCGCTGGTGCCATACGATTCGGTGGAATAGAAATGGGCTGAGTGCCCGGCACCAGGTCAATACCAAAATCAATATCCCTGTCCGGAGGCATGCCCGGCAGGTCTGCAGGAAACACATCGGGAAAATCCCTCACAACTGGAACAGAATCAATGATGGGAGTCTCTGTACTGACATCCCTCACAAATGCTAAGTATGAAAGACAAACTTTCCCAACCACACGCTGGGGCTTTAAGAATGAAATCACCCTACTAGGAACATAATCAGACGAACCCCGCCACTCAATCCGTGGCATACCCGGCATAGCTAACATCACCGTCTTGGCGTGACAGTCTAAGATATCCCGACACGGAGATAACCAATCCATGCCCAATATCACATCGAAGTCCACCATGCAAAGTAACAGAAGATCCACTCGGGTCTCAAGACCCCCAATAGTCACCACACACGACCGGTCCGGTATACACGGTCTACAACAACGGTATCACCCACCGGAGTAGATACATGAACAGACAAAACAAGAGACTCGTGGGGCGTATCCAAATAATGGGCAAAATATGACGACACATAAGAAAAAGTGGAACCAGGATCAAATAATATAGAGGCATCTCTGTGGCAGACTGGGACGATACCTGTAATCACGGCATCCGAAGCAATAACATCTAGTCTGGCTGGGAGGGCGTAGAAACGGGCCTGACCACCACCTGATCGGCCTCCCCCTATAGGGCGACCCCTAGCTGACCGACCTCCACCCCAAGCTAACTGAGCGAGTGGGGAAGTAACTAGTGCTGAAGCTGAAAGCTGACTCCTCTGCTGGGATGATCCTCCCGTAAGATGGGGACAAAACCTCTTGATATGACCCAAATCTCCACACTCGAAGCAACCTCTCGCGGCAAATGGCGGCGGGGACTGAAGGGAGCCCCGTGCATCGGGATGCCCACTAGAAGAACCAGGCATAGATGATCCCTGAACTGATGGTGCCTAAGTCAAACTTTGAGCTGGAAGGGCGCTAAGAGACGAGTGACCGTGATGTGAACTGTGAGAACCATGGCCAGAATGACCCACCACGATGACCTGAACGGGCTGGCTGAGCATGCCTAAATGGGCGGCCTCTGCCGTGCTGAAACTGACCTCCCGAAGAAGTACCACCAAAGCTACCAGATCCCCGAAACCTCTTGGCCTCCCTCTCATCTCTCTCCTGGCGGCAAACTGACTCGATCACTCTAGCAATATCAACCACCTCCTCAAATGAAGCGCCAGATACTCTCTCTCTGGTCAGAAAAATCCGTAGATAATAGTTCAGGCCATCAACGAACCTCCTGATCCTCTCCCTATCCGTGGGAACTAGCCAGATAGCATAACGGGCCAACTCAGAGAACCTTATCTCATACTGCGACACGGACATGCCCCCTGACGCAGCTGCTCGAACTGCCTGCGCAGTTCCTCCCTGCGGGAATGCGGTACATACTTCTCTAGGAAGAGAATGGAGAACTGATGCCAGGTGAGGGGCGGTGCACCAACAGGCCTACGCCTCTCATACACCTCCCACCAAGTGAAGGCAGCCCTAGAAAACTGAAAAGTGGTAAATGCAACCCCACTAGTCTCCTGAATCCCCGCTGTACGTAGAATCATCTAACACTTGTCTAAAAAACCCTGGGCATCCTCACCCTCTGCTCCGCTGAAAGTCGGAGGCTGAAGTCTACCAAATCTCTCTAATCGAAGCTGCTCGTCATCAGGCATAACTGGAACCACATATTCCTGAGCAGGAGCAACAGGCTGGGCTGGTGGTGCCTCCGGTGTCTGAAGTCCCTGCACAACCTGCTCAGGTGTGCGAGCGGCTGGAGGCTGAGTGCCTCCCCCGGCCTGGGAAGTAGCTGCTCTAGTAGAGACTGCGACTGCCTGAGCGAGACTGGTGCACACTTTCAGAATCTGAGCCAAGGTCTCCTAGAGACCCAGAATAACAATAGGCACAGCCGGTGCTTGAGCTGGTACTGCTGGAGCATCCTCCGCTGGATCCTGATCATGAACTGGGGCGGCCGGTGGATCTGCAAGTGCTGGCCTAGCTGCTGTGCGGGCCATACCCCTGCCCCTACCACAACCTCGACCGCGTCCTCAACCTCTAGTGGCCCCAGCTGGTGGTACTGGTGGTCGTCCATCCTGACCAGTAGCGCGTGTCATCACCATCTGTGAGAGAATAGAATAATATGAAGTTTTCCTAAAGGTTCTGCAGCCTCCCGAGGATAAATACAGACGTCTCCGTACCGATCCGCGAGACTCTACTAAACCTGCTCATGACTTGTGAGACCTATGTAACCTACGCTCAGATACCAACATGTCACGACCCAAAAACTTACCCGGTCGTGATGGCGCCTAATGTGGAACTAGGCCAACCACTTATTTCCATTTACTTCATTTACCAATTAAAACTTAAGAAAAAATATTATTTTAGCAGAAATCCAATAAGATAAAAGTCAAAATCCAAAACATGCGGAAAGAAATAGAATCCCGACCTCGAGTGTCACTAGTCATGAGCAAAAGTACTACAACTGTTCGAAATAAACAAGACTAAAAACTCTGAGAATATCCAACAATTATGCTAAGAGGAAGATAAGGAAGGAGAAGGCGGAATTGCGGTCGCCAAGTAGCTACCTCGCAATCTCCAAAGAACAGTCCACAACGATATGATCAGCAACCGCTACCGTGACCTGAAATACCTAGATCTGCACACAAGGTGCAGGGGGTAACGTGAGTACACCAACTCAGTAAGTAACATGTCCAACCTATAGACTAACAGGTAGTGACGAACCAAACCTCAGCAGGTAATAACATATAACAGAACAGGAAATTAGACATGCTTACAGTTCAAGTAAGGCTCGACGGTATTTAAATGCAACTGAACAGTACGAAGTTCAAAACTCAGAGATTTTATATATACCAATGCATAACTAGCATGATCGATGTTCCATGAACCTCCACTCACAAGTGCTCAACCACTCGGTACTGTATACGGCCATCCGGCCCAGGTAAGATCCATCTCGGAATATATATCACTGACCGCAGTCATCTAGTACTGAGGACGCAGGCCAATCCAGCCTCACGGAGAAGATCCATCTCCCGGTATAATACTTCGGATAAGATCCATGTCCAGGGAAGATCCATCCCTCAATATCATCAATTGCGCTCACTGGGGGTGTAAAGACTCCGGAGGGGCTTCTCTCATTAGCCCAAGCGCTATAACAAAGCCAACGAAGGCTTGTTCAATATCCCGCTGCAGCGTGCAGCCCGATCCTATACTGCCACTCAATATCAGGCTCTCGGCCTCGCTCAGTCATAACTCACCAATCTCACACACACAGGCTCAAAATGTCATGATACTAGCCCGGACAATAATATGATGTGTCAAATAGCAATAACCGAGACTGAGACATGATATAATATGCATGAATAGGACTGAGTACAGAATATCAACAAAACAAATGATATGACAGCATAAAATGACCTCTTAGGTCTCAATAAAATTGGCGCGAAGCCTTAACATGATTATCAGCATGATTCACAGCTCATCAACTAAATCACATAATTACAACACAGATATCAGTAAGAAAGAACCACTAAGCGATGCTCTGGAATGATCCAGGCCGCATTTCTAACGGTGCACGCCCACACGCCCGTCACTTGGCATTTGCGTCACCTTTATAATAATCATAGAACACATAGTTCGGGGTTTCGAACCCTCAGAACCAAGATTGGAAGCATTACTTACCTCAAGCCAAGCCACACTCTAGCCCGCGACGCCCTTTCCTCTCGATTTGGCCTCCAAATGCCTCGAATCTAACCAAAATCAGTTTATAACCATCAATATATGCTAAAGAAGTGAAACCCATACGAAATTAATCAAATTACATCGCAAATTCTGAAATTGACCAAACCCGACCCCCGGGCCCACATCTCAGAATCCGATAAAAATTACATCAACTCATCCTCCCACGAGTTCATACATACCAAATATACCAAAATCCAACCACAAATGACCCCTCAAATCCCTAAATTTAGGTCTCCAACTCCCAAGCCCTAAACCCCCAATTTTAGGCTTTAGATTCCACAAATTTCATGTTTAAACCAGCAGGAATCAACATAGGATCGAGTTTTAGGTTCAATAATCTTACCTCAAAGAAGTTCTCTTGAATTCCCTCTTCAATCTCCCCCAAGAAGCTCCAAAACCGACTCAAAAATGGTGAACTATGGCCTAAAATCGCGAAAATGGCCTTTTAAACATTCTGCCCAACGATTTAAAATTCCTTAATCGCGATCGCGGAAAATGCCTCGCGATCGCGAAGCACAAAAGCTGACTGGCCTCATTTAACCTTACGCTATCGCAATAAACTCCACGCGATCGCGGAGCTCTGCCTCTGCTAACCTACGCGATCGCGATCGCAGTCCAACCCATGCGATCGCATAGAAAAACCTCACCACCTCACACCAACTCCATCTCTCCTACGCGAACGGGACATTGACCACGCGTTTGCGAACAACAATCTCTCAACCAATCGCGATCTCATACTGACCTTCACGATCGCACTGAACAAATTCCACCTCTGCCCCATAAAGCCTACACGATCGCGGACCCTTCTACGCGATCGCGATGAACAAGTGTCTGTAACAGACCTGAAGGAAAATCTGCAAGTTTTCAAACATGAATTAGATCCGTTCAACCACCCGAAACTCGCCTGAGGCCCTCGGGATCTCAACCAAACATGACAACAAGTCCCATAACATCATTCAAACTTGTTCCAACCTTTGGAACACTCAAAACAACATCAAAACGTAAAATCTACCATGGATTCAAGCCTAAGAACTCCAAAAACTTCTGAATTCCGATTTCGATCAAAAAGTCTATCAAACCTCGTCCGAATGACCTAAATTTTTGCACACACGTCACAAATGACACAACGGACCTACTCCAACTTCTAGAATTCCATTCCGACCCCTATATCAAAATCTCCTCTACCAACCGAAAAATGCCAAAATTCCAATTTCGCCAATTCAAGGCTAAATCTACTCCGGACCTCCAAAACCCATTCCGATCACGCTCCTTAGTCCCAAATCACCTCCCAAAGCTATCCGAATTACAGGTGTCCGGGAAGATGAAGTAGAAATTTGTGTTGCACAGGGCTGACTTTGGCAGCTTATATCTAAAAATCTATAAGGAATTGGGAGATGACCAAAACACGAAAGTTGTTGATATTGGTGTCTAGTTTTCAAAACATTAAACCTTTTGTCATTTGGAGTTTTGTACAAAAAGTTATGTCCATTATACTAGAGGCTATCTAAGAAGAGTTTGGAAATGACTTTTCAGAATTTTGTTCATCGCGAACGCGATGGGGTTCTCGTGAACGCAAAGAAGGATCGCCTGGGCAGTGTATAAGTTTGTAAAATGGTTTTGGATCATTTCATCTCATTTCCTCCATGGGAGCCGAGCTAGGAGCGATTTTGGAGCTCCATCTTCATCATCCATGTCAAGGTAAGTGATTCCCATATATTGCAAGTTAAATACTTGGATTATATATATATATATATATATTAACATGGAAATTCATGGGAAATTAGTGAAAACTTGGGGTTGCGGTAGAAAACCTAGAAATTGGTATTTTTGAATTTTGACCACGAATTTGGGCATGAAATTGAGAGTAAATTATATATTTGAGTTCGTGGGGTTATGGGTAAAGTTTATCTTCGAAAAATTTCAGAATCCGAGCACGAGGGCCTGAGGGCGATTTTGTCATCTTTTCGATCGGGGTTGGAAATTGTTATAAATTGAATTATTATGAGTAATTGAGCATATATTAATGGTTTGGCATAATTATTGGCTAGTTTTGGCGAGTTATGCATCGATTTAGTCTTCGAAAGGGTTTGGAATGGCGGTTGTGGAACTTGGGGTGAGGTGAGTCTCCTTTCTA